AAAGAAAGAAAAAAAAAAAAAAAAAAAAAAAAAAAGAGAGAAATCAGAATAGAAAAAAAACCAAAGCCACTAGTACTGGTACTACAATCACAATAACACTAGTCGTGAATGTGAAAATTTCTCATCAGAGGAGAAATTGAAAAGTTCTTTTTTCTTTTTTCTGTCTTGTTCTTCTCTCAAGTAGCCACCAAAAATGAATTATCCCAGTTTATCAACACATTGTTATTCCCATGCCCATCTTCTTTGCACCTGCTCGGCCTCTGAAGCTTCTGATCTTCCTCCATTTCATCTCCACCATTTTCATCCCAATTCACTTCCTCTGTTTCTTCTTCCTCTTCTTCATAATCTTCTTGATCACTTTCAATTTCATTCTCGACCCCATTTTCTTCTTCTTCTACATTCCTGGGAGGGAAGTTTTTCATCAACCGGAGAGTGAGCCGGCCATCGGCCCGCTCGGCATGGAAGAAGGAGGTCGAAGAGGCGACGGCGACGGCCTTCAAAACAAGCCGGCCGTCCTCTCTGTGAGGCCTGACTTTGAACCCCGCAGAGCAGCTAACGGAGGTTAACGGAGGAGGGAAGCTTCCGGCCCGGTTCAGCCTCTTCGGCGACCGGAGTACTACTTCGCGGGCGGCCATCGGGCTCTTCCTCGCCGGCGCCGAAAGCAGAGACATCTCGTCGTCGCCGCTGCTGTCTCCGGTATCGCTCCCCGTCTCGCTTCCCAAGTTCTCCGTGCACATTTCCAGGCTCTTTGCGCTGAGCTTGGAAGCGGAGCGCTTCACCATGGGGTGGACGTAGACATTCTCTGTTTCGGTGTCGTTTTTCGCCGTCAGAGCCTGGAGGAAGCTCATGCCGTTTTTCATGTCGTCGTCGTCGTTTTTGTCCTTCTTGATCTTCTTCTTCACCTCGTGGAATTCATTAGTATTGTCGTTTTCTTGTTGTTGTTGTTGTTCAGGCTTGGAATTGTTCCAACGGGGGAGATTTGGGTTGGGAAGGGCCAACTTCAGCCTCAGGACTCGGGGCTCCACGAGGCCCGGCTCCAGACATGATTGCAGGCCTTGACAAATACTCGTGGACATGTTTGCTACCACAATAATTTTTTTTTTCTTTAATAAAATACCAAAACAGAGGAGAAACAGGGGAATTTTGGATGAGGAAGAATGAAAAGGAGTTATGTTTTTTTTTTTGGTTTTTTTGTTTTGTTTTTTTTTTTGGAGTTTTTACGGGGGTAAAAATTGTGCGTAAATGAGCTTAAGGACAAGGTTTTAAACAAAACCCACGTTTTGGTTTGGGTGAAAACTGATATGGGTGGCTTACAAAGGAGTTGGGAAGAAAGGAAAGAGAGAGAGAGAGAAGTGAAGAGGGATAGAGAAGAAAGGATTGAGAATGGAAGAGAAGGGATGGTCGTGAATTTATAGTGAAATTTTGGGGAAGAAGAGAAAGAGAGTGACTTTTGCAGGCTATGAATGTAGTGTTGTAGTTAGTAGGACTAGGAGGGAACTTTTTTATGCCCACTCATATTGTGGAAATTTCACTCTGCCACACAATTTTCTTTTGTGAAACGGAGAGAGAGAGAGAGAGAAGATTGATGAACAACAAACAATAAAAGAGTGTGAATAAATAAATAGTCCAATTTTCTGTTTTCATACCTATTATGGAAAAGGAAATAGCAAATGAAGATCATGTTATTAATTCACAAAATGATTTTCTTTCTTAACCATAGGTTGAAATTGAGTTATTCCTTGAGGTGAGAAGCAGGAAATGCCTAAGTTGATAAGGATCATCAAGGTTTATTATTTACCCTTTTTTTTTTTTATTCCATATAATGCCGCCAAAAGAAAAACCAAACTAAGGAAAGGGACCAAAATACAAACGGTTCTTTTTCATATTTACTGACTGGGATTTCTACGCTTGTTCTCTCATTTTTCACGCTGTTTTATTGTGTCCTAATACCGTCAAAACCTGGTGGCACTTCCTGCATAATAACCAAGCAGCTATGAGCTCAGCAAATCCCAATACAAATAATATATTCACTCACGTTTTGTAGTCTCTGAGCTCATTTAGTTTGCTGATTTGAGTTTTTAATTTGAGTTTATACGTGACTTTATGTGAGAGTTTTTTACTGTAATAAAAAAATTAGATATGACTGTTTCTGATAGCTTTTTACTGTAGTAAAACTCAAATTCTCAACTCGAATCGGTGAAATAAACGGGACCTCTGTTTTCTCTCGTTGTATACAATTAATCTTCTTCCTCGTTTATTTTTTCCCTTGCAAAAGAAAAGGCATGCTATTGAGATACTTATAAAAAAAAATTTAGAAAATTGAGAATCTTATGGTAAGATATGAAAAAAATTACTCTGCTGATAAGGTTCTATTTTAATCTTCGTTTTGTATACTTTTTTTTATTTTGATGTGATTTTAACTAAAATTTAATATTTAAAAACATGCACTATTTCTAGGATATCTTTACTTAGAAAGCTGCTTAGACTATAGATATTATTAAGCTATACATCTCACCATTACACCAAATTAATTAACTAATATTTTCTATTGATGTTGTAAGCTTCCACCATTAATTTTATAAGTTTTGACGAAGAAATTAACCAATGATCTTCTTAGGTTCTACACAGCTGACTTCTGCACTAAATATTTTATTTAACCGACCAAAATGAGCAGTCATTAGTTGATACTTAAACCAATAGTTTAAGACTCAGCTTTAATGTCTTCTAAGGCAAGAGGCCTCCCCCTACTTTTTTTTTTTTTCTTTTATAGTGATCATGAATTGCTTATTATGCACTCCTTAAAAATCCATTAACTTTATGATTAGTTCATTACTACTCATAACAGGAAAAAGGAAAGGGGCAGCTTCTTCTTGCTATTGGGCAAATCTTTTTCAGTCTAAGGAAATTCCAAACTGTACGGACATGTTTTTAAAATATATTTTCTATTTTTTTTTTTATGGCCAGAAAGGTCTTTTAAATTTTAATTCGTGATTTTTTTTTTTTTTTTTTTTTTTTTGGTGGGTGGCTAACTCACATTTTCTTATGTTCATTGGGTGGTAGTTATGGCCCAGTGTCGTTTGAAATATCTCAACTTTGAGCTTGAAACTTTAAAGTAAAGAAGGAACAAGTTGATAGGGTGAAATACTTAGTAAGATAAGAGCAAGGTAGAACTAACTTCCTAATATGTTTTGTCAGCAAATGGGTCTAAGTTTCCAATTACGGTGTCTGTCATGCACATGATGCTGACAACCAAATTGCAATGTTAGGTTTTAACAATTTGGCACTAGTGGATATTTTTTCCCTCGCCCGTTTTGTCTCCTTTTCTTTAGAGCACTATAAATATGTGTTTTAACACGTCTCATTAATTTAATATAACTGTGATGGGTAAACAAGATATTTACAAATTTGTAAAAATAAAAATAATAAAAAAAAAAGACTGCCAAAGACTTGAGCATGTAAGAATCTTTGGTGATTCCTAAATATGCGAAGGAATATGTAGAGATAACACTCTCGATTAATCCAATATTCAATCACTACGTACTTTGTTTTTTTTTTTTTTTTTAATAAATCTAAATGAAAGATTATAAAGGTGTTTACAAGCATTATGGAATCATCTTCACATATACCAACTTAATATTCGTTTTTGAAATAATTACGTACCAACTTAATACAAAGCTCTCTTACTATTACTTTGGCGAGAGAAAAAGAGAAATAGGACAAGACTTGAGATAAATTAAAATTAATAGGATAATAGTTTACATAAGTTAATAAATAGACTAAATTACTGTTTTCGTCCATAACTTGTCTGGTCATAAACCATAACTTGACAAGTTATTGTCCATAATTCACGATTTTTGTCCATAACTTGTCTGGCTATGAACCATAACTTGACAAATTTGTCCATAACTTATTTAGTTATAAACCATAACTTAACAAGTTGTGACCTATTAATTTCTATAACTAAAAATTGACCTATATACTTTCTTAAACTTTTCATATTGGCCTATTATCTACTATTTCCGTACTTTGGCGAGTAGAATATATAATGGATTCAACCCTTGATCCAAAACAAACTTGCGATTAATCCCTCTAACCAATACACGAGCTAAAATTAATGATGGCAGCTTATATACATATTTTAAACAAGTGATGCCTCAAGAATTATAATAATTTTCTAATAATCGACCCAAATACATTGTATCAATTACGAAATGGCCCAGTGAGGCAGTGTCCAGTATACATTATCTTAAAGGGAGAAAGAAGAAAATAGGTCAAGACTTAAGATGAATTAAAATTAATAGGCTAATAGTTTACATAAGTTAATAAATAGGTTAAATTATTGTTTTCGTCCATAACTTGTCTGGTTATGAATCATAACTTGACAAGTTATTATCCTTAATTGTCCATAACTTGTCTGACTATGAACCATAACTTGACAAGTTTGTCCATAACTTATCTAGTTATGAATCATAACTTAACAAGTTATGGCCTATTAATTTCTATAACTAAAAATTGACCTATATACTTTCTTAAACTTTTTATATTGACTTATTTTCTACTATTTCTCTGTCTTAAATGACCCTAATCAGTGTCCCTTATCAGCTACATTTAACGGGTTTTTTTTTTTCAGCAATATATATATATATATATATATGCGCAATGCAATAGATCAGTACTGTTGTCCATTAATTGTACGAACGGACATGAACTTTAAATTATCAAGTGATGAAGAATTCTGATCAGCAGCAGGGATCAACAAAACCCTAAAGTGCCGCGTGTCAATAAACACAAGACGTGTAGTGCTTTCTGCACGTACATGGGAATTATTCAAGTGTAGTGGAAAATGGAGCACTACGATTATGGATCACTGCATGCTGGGTCTCACGATTATGGATGTTGGGAAGTGAATTGATCACTGCATGCTGGGTCTCAATATTCTTTATTTCCTGTTTGGAGTCTCCAAACGACACTATTCATTGAACGACTATCCCTTGTGCCTGGTCATTTTTACATGCTCGTCCACCAAAAAGCCAAGTTTCTATTTTTCTTGCAAAAACACCCCCCTATGAAACTTCTCTGCAACTTCATTTTATTGTGATAGAAAAGTGTCTTATTCATGTCTATAATAAGCTGTGAAATGAAAAGGTACAAAATTTTACTACCTCATTTCTAGAAAACCATGCTTTGGATACTTTAATTATTGTGTGCAATATATGTATATGCGTACATCACTATAAGACCAAGAACTTTTCTTTATAGTGGCTTATCTTTCCCCTTTCATATAAGTTGGCCTTTCATATTTTTCATATGCAATGTAAACCGTTTGTTCCTAAACGGGTAAAAGATATTTGATATTTGATCTCTCAATCTGCCATATACAAAAAGGTTGTAGATCTCTTAACTCCCAAAGACAACCATAATAAGAATTAAAAAAGTTATCATTTACCAATAATTACTATCTACATGTTGTTCTCTTCAAAGATCTTAGCACGTGCACGGACTAATATTAACATTACATGACATTTTGAAAGATATGGTTATAATTATCCGTTTTTTAATATGTAAATGAAGTTAATTATTACAACAAATACAGTACATATGAGATAAGTTAACGTGTGTATACGGAGATGATCTGATCTCGTCATTTCCGTGTACAAAAAACTAGAAGAAGTCTTTCGTTATACCAAAAACACATAGAACATATCATGTGTTATTGAGTGTTTTTGCCGATTGAAAACGGGAAAGGGTGTTTCTTTTTCTTGCGTAACAAGCATAAGTTATTGTCTAGTGAAAAAAAAAAAAAAAAAAAAAAAAAACCGCCTAGATTCTAAACTTGGGTGGTTTTTAGACATGCAAAGCTCTTAAAGTTGTTAAATATGCAAACCCAAAAAAGGGTAAGATATTTCATGTTTAGTTTTTTGCTCAATGATATTTTCATATTTGTTTATGGTGGTGTGAAGCTGACGAGAATATGTGCCCTCTCGCACACTCTCAATCCCCTGACCATCAATTTTGCTTTCGCAATCACATCTTTCTCTTTTCTTGCTTATTTTTGCCTTTTGTTTTAGATTGGGCCGGCCAAGAGAAAAGGGCTTGCGCAATGCCCCTAGCTTTAAATAGAAAACCTTAAAAGTTTTTTAGTCCCATTTTTCTTTCTCTTTTTTTTTTTTCCTTAATCTCTCTTGAATTCTTTGTTGTGCAAATATATGTATAACAATTTGTTTGTTTTACTTCTATTTTACAATCTTTACAAAGAAAGTTGAGAAGGTATCAAATTCATGGCTTTTGCTACAAACATGTCAACGAGCTAGGCGCACTCTGTTTGTACCCTTTTGACCATAACGAGTTAGTGCCTTTGTAACCTTTATTATTATATTTTTTTTCACTTTATTAGTACTCATTATTTTTTTACTATAGAAAATTATATTATTATTACTCTTTTCATAAGGAACAACACTGATCACGTGTCACGAGGTGAATGGTTGTCTCATTAAAACTAGTAGATTTAGCCAACAAAACAAACGTTTTATTTAAGTTTTAGCTTTTACAAATGGCGTCCAAACGATTCCTTCGAATCGGACCTCCCACTAACTTCGACTTCTTTTTTTCTCTCGTGTGAGGTCAATGTAAGGTAGATAGAATAATATATCTTCCAAAATTCCAATTCCGATCTTATATGACGTTGTTAATCTTCTATTAAAAAGTCCTATCCAATTTAAAAGCAAAAGCTTTTCTTTTTACAAATCCTATTCGTAAAAGGAGTTCTTCCCTCCCCATCTTTATAAACCTTTGACTTGAACGACAATGATCAAGATTTTGGTACAATTCCCGGGAATCATTTAAACTTTATTCCAAACCATCATACTTTTTAATAGAATGAGAGGAGACCAAGTTTATTAATTTATAACAAGGATTTACAAGCTTGTGCATTAATCGAAACAAAATGAAGATTGGGACAAAATGAAATGCAAATAGCTAGAATACAACCTGCTGAGGTCATTTACTACCCATCTAATGAAGCTTCCAAAACTGGTCATGAAACATGAAGGTTTTGAATTTCAACCTGTAGTCTTTGCAGTTCTTTCTCAACGTCAGCTATTTCAGCTTGAATCGCAAGCAGCTTTTCTAGTTTATTTTGTGCCGCGTCTTGGTAAGGCTTGGCAACGACTTTTACGAAGTTTTCGATGTTGTCCAGAGCTTCTGAGAGATCCTTCTGCATTGCCTCTTCAAGTTCAAGAGCCAAGGCGTCTGCAGTCTTTTTCACTTTAACTATCATTGCCTGCCTACGAGCTGGAAAGTTTGAAACTGCTAACAACCTATCACAAAAACAAATGATAACTAAGACGTCCGAAACTAGTAATAAAAAAACAAAAGTTTTATTCCCTTTTGTTTTTTGGTTGGGTGGAAATCTTAACAAAACGGTGCCTTCAAATATATAGAATGAAGGGATTAGTTTATCTCAGTAGCATGCCACAAACTGATGAATCAGTAACGCTCTAGCCAAAAATTTCCAAGCATTTACCATTCATTGATCAAAGGTTAAGGAGCAGAATAAAATCAAGTTTTGGGTATGTTCATATGGCCCTTTTTCTTTGCAAGTAACATGGCCATTTTGTCAATGTATAAGAGATATCAACTAATGATGATCCTAGAATCATTTGCCAAAAAAGAAACAAGTAAAAAGTAGAAATTGAAAATTAAAGATGTATCACCCGCCAGCAGAACAAAGGCCAAGAGCAAGAAGATCTTCTAGTGTCGTTGGAAGCACAGATGTAAGAAGTGAAGCAGATAAACCGGCTGCTCCAAGTCCACCAAACGTTCCCAGGAACTAAATCCACAAGAACATCTAACATATCAAGATAATTAAACTAAAATTTGTATATAAATAAGAGAAGAAACTGTATGCTACACACGTCAAGAGAAACCGAATAAATTATCCTTAAGGGTGAATGAAAACCTACTGTGAAGAATCTGTTCGAATATTATTACCATATTATGCTAAAAAACATGGAGCATTTCATTTCAAGAGAACATTCCCAGTCAAACGTAGCTTTCAGAAACAACCTTCAGTTTACTTGAAGGAGTTCCTTGACGTCTAGGCGTGTCCTATTTATTTTCTTTATTTGGGGGATCAGCATGAGGAACTCACCACTTCTCGTACTTCTTGATCAAACAATTTAGACGCAGCAGGGCCACTGAAGTTCCGCATCACTCCCAAGCTAAGTTCATTCACCTTTTTCAGTGATTCAAATGTCTCAAAATGCAACTGACTGTTTGGATAGACAAATGAAGGCCAACATTTTTCGAAAGATTCCTTGTACACCATCCCTTCACGAACATTGTTGGACTGTAACCATTCTATGTATTCTCCCAGTAAATTCTACATGCAAAGAAGATACTTAAATTATAATAGAAAAAATAAAAGCCAAACAACTATGGGGAAAATGTGGTACAAAACATAGCAGAGAAGCATATTTCTAAAGAATTGAGCTCTATGACTCTAGAATGGAAGTACAGTAAAGACGCATGGTTTTAACACTACGACAAGCAGGAAAAGGAGAAGGTCCAATGAATGATGATGAAGCAATTAACTTACTTGTACATCTATAAGAGCAGGACCAATTACGTCATTTTGAATCCTTGAGGTGGGTGCCAAGGTGGTAGACTTTTCCCCTTTGAACGCATATGAAGCAACAAGATCAAGATTTGATAATTGTAGTGTAGCTTGTATGAGATCTATCACTCGTGATTTTGTATTATCAATCTGCAGTTCCATGCACCTTTAAGAAGAAGAAGAAAAAGAACCAATGTGCTTATTACTAATTTAAGGATATAAAATTTTTACAAGCTTACCGACGATAGAGCTCTTCTCCTCCAAGATATGCTTTCATTTTCCATTTTCATTGCATAATCTTTTACACTACTAACTATATCGTTTATTGACTCCAAGTCTTGTTTAGCAGATCGGCAGTCTTGTCTCACAAGAGTTTCACAAGAAGAAAGTAGTCTTTCTGCAATTGCAACGGGTGTTCCAAGTTTAAGTTTCATTCTTTCTATTCCATTGCTTGTTGATCCATCTAAAAAGCTATACAAGAATTCCTCAAATTCATCAAAGCTACTGCTCTTCCAGTCAGAATCAGATGTTGATAGATCATCAGATTCCTTTTCAAACTCGGAGGAAGCTGAAAGTTTTGCTTCAAGAGCTGATCTTGCAGACACAGGATATATTGTTACATGTTCAGCGTTCAGCAACTTCTGTGTGTTTTCCTTGATAAATGACACAGCTTCCTCGAGCTGCACCATATCAACAAATAAGAGAATAGAGTAAAACGAGAGCTTGATTGAGAATCGCGTGCAAATACATAAATAAACCTTGGTTTTAAAAAAGATTTCTACAGGAATTTATCAGATAGCAAATGACAAAGGTCACTAAACAATTAAAGGAATGATTTCCATCAACAAACCTCATTAGCAGTCCGATAGAGGTCAGATTTGTTTAAGACAAACACAACTTTCTTCTTCCATTGTTGAATATAACGGAGAAAACCAACCTGAAAAGATAATACCAGTGGTGAAACCAAAATGAATTACAGTAAAGTAAAACTTAAGCAAAAGCATGGAAAAATGATTGGCGGATGTATATTTTCTACTGTGACTGTATTCCTTCATACACTAATCACTTCCTTAATAGAAAGTGAAGAAGCTGACCTTAAAGATGTAACTACATAAGCCGGAGCTTGTGGCATTTTTCTTTGCGGATTTTGGACGAGTTGAAACATTAATCAGCATGCTAATGCTATGTTATATTGACAAACAATAACAAAGCATACCTCACTTTCTGTTAAAGGCCGATCAGCAGATATGACAAAAAGAAGCAAATCTGCACGCGGCACAAATTCCTCAGTAAGGCGTTGTTGCCTCTGCAGAATCACATTTGTTCCAGGTGTATCAACTATGTTCATCTGCTTCCAAAGAAATTACAAAATATCAGGTATATATCAACCATTACGACTGGTAAGCAGATCAGGAGTGCTGGTGCTGAAATCTTCTTCTCCCAAAGCAACACTAATGTGGCAGAATAATAGTAATAACTAAAATGGTAAGCAGCCACTCCACAACCATGCACCAAGATGAGTTCAACTTTACATTAACCATTGCCCTAGAAATGCAAAGTAATGTAGATACAAATACAATTCATAGGACCAGGTTCAAGAATATGACTCACTTCTTTAAGAATTGGAGCCGGTAGATAGCATATATATTGACCATCTGGATGTCTTTCACAACGTTGTGCCTCCCCAGAATCAATATTAGAATACCGCAAGAAAGTGATCTCGTTAGTTGTAGGAACAACCCCCTCCTTGAGATATTTACTTCCAAGAAGTGCATTAATAACACTTGACTTCCCAGAGTTAAATTCACCCTGGTATAAGTATTATAAAGATAACAATAAGTCATAGGAGAACTTAAAACCTCGTGTAACATCCTGACATGTGTTTGGAAAACCGGCTCAGCTTTTCGACATGAAAACTATAATAAGGAAGCATATTAAACACTAAATTGTGACAATAATCGTGCCTATAAACAACTCATGTTTTGATGAAAAACAGAAGAATATGTGCAACTACTGTTGTTTGACCAAAGAAATCGTTAGAGTTGATCCTGGATTTTCTTGAGTTAAGGATAACAGAACCAAGTTCCTGCATTTCAATGAAAACAAGAAATGGTGTACGAATCCTTATTCATATTTATAGCTTCAGTAACGACCACACAAGGGTTATATATTACCTAGAGCCCAGACGTACGTAACTATGATTGTCATGATAATTATTTTTCCAAAAGTACTACATCAGTCTGGTATTAACTATTAAGAAGATCAAGGGCCGCCTTAGCTATAAATTCTTTCAAATAAAAGAGAAAAGATTCATGTGAAAATAAGAGCTAATACCAATGTATATCCCTGGAACCAGAATTTGTTGAAGTTCAGCACACAATTACCACTATAGCCAGTAAAAATGGCTCATCAATTTGAGCAACTGCATCTGCCAGAAGCGAAACCCCCTCCATCTGTCATGCAAAACAGTATTACATGATTCCTAATAAAGCAGATAATTTATATGTTCATATAAACTAAAATTTACACAAAGATCAACTTCAACTACCAAATAATATTAATTAAAAGATCACCAGTGGAGCAGCTTTCTGAATGACATTTATTGCTTCAAGCAATACCAATCTCTCTCTTTCTATGCACTGTTTTTTTCGATCCTCCAAGTTGATAAAGCCCGCAACCCTTTCTTTAGCACCAATACCATTCTCCGAATTCAACAATTTGTTCTCACTAGAGTTATCAAAATCATCTTGGGTACTTTTATTTAGTGTGTACACATCACTAAACAAACTATTTAAAGCATCATCGCTGAACTTCTCAAAACCTTTCACAGAAGTAACTAATCCACTAGCACCAGATTTGAGTAATTTTGACGCCTCCGTAACTAACGCGTCCTCTTCATAAGTAAACATCACAAAGATTGGTATCTTCACATTTTCACGCACAGAGTTCAGTACCACATCAACAAGTTTCTCTTCGCCAAGACTATAGATAAGAAAATCAGCTCCTTCGGAACTAGATGCGTTCAAAGCAGCATCTGCCGTTTGCACATTTCTTGCTACCAAAGGAAGAACCACTGAATCGGACTTGGAATCCATCATCGTACTTCTTGCCACAATGGCAGGAAGACCTACACAAGGACAAAACAAAAACTTACTTTCCTAGTAAAACGGGTATAAAATACCAAGTCTGCACTTCCTTTTTCTCACCTAAATGATTCTATACTTACCACCTCTTACACCAACATTTAAATAATAAAGACAAAAACGATTTTCTTTTAAAAAAAAAAAAAGAAAGAGTTTTCTAGGCGATTGACATTCTTTAATTGGTATATGTCACTAATTATATCTACAATAAAAAGACAAAATGCTCGTTTGTCATTGTTCAATCGTTAGGCTATGAAATCTTATATTTATAAAGTTTGTCATTCTTTAATAGGTACTATCAAGAAAAAGTTAATACCTCGCCACAATGCATTGATATTATCATATTAACAATGTAGTATAAAAGTGGAGTATGTGTAGCATTATAGAGTGAACTGAACTAAATAACAGGAAAAAAAAAACGAAGAAACCTTGATCAGAGAGCACCACTCCACTGGCATTAGCAGCGGCCGCGATATCGACCCGTTCGGCGACCAACAAATAGGCGCGGTCCCTAACCACCGACTTCAACTTACAAGCGGCTTCATAGATCCTCCCGCCGGTGGCTTCGCCACCATTGAGCACCACAATCCCGGTCCATTTCGACACCGCCCGGTCGACCAAGTCCAAGGCGCCGTCGCCGGCCAAGACCTCGTCGGCGTCCAATTGCAGAACCAAACAGGGGACTCTGATCTCGGGGCGCTTGTAGCCGCCGGGGAACACGGTCCTCGGCGGCCCTTGGCCCTGCAGCTCCGGACTGCTCTGATTGGCGAACTGACTCCCGTTCTGCGAGATCGATCGAACCGGTAACCGGGGCGGTCGTCGGAGAAGGCAGGGTTTGAGGCGAGAAGTGTGGAGTTGCAGTGGAGGCGTGAGGGTGAAGAACAGAGGGTGGTGCGTTGTTGAGGCCTGGGAGAAAAGGAGAGGTACCATGGGAATCGCAGAGAGAGATTGGAGACGAACCGGCTAAACCCTAATCTTTTACCTTGTTGTCGGCTTTCTAGAGAGAGATATTGTGTATTTGAGAGAGAGAGAGAGAGAGAGAGAGAGAGAGAGAGAGAGAGAGAGAGGAACGTAAGGAGAGAAGAAGAAGCCTTATCGGCAAACACAGTGGGAATTGGTGTGGAAGAGGAACGTAAGGAGAGAAGAAGAAGCCTTATCGGCAAACGGAGTGGGAATGGGTGTGGGCGATTATTATCTTATCCATTAAAACAAGTACCAAAAAAAAAAAAAATTTACTAAAATGACTTGAAATTGTCAAAATAACCATTTTTTATAAAAACTAGTCGTTTCTCCTGATTGTTTTATAGTTATTTTATAAATAAAAATTTTAAAAAAATTATTTTATTAATAAAATTGATATTTTCAATTTTGGGTCTATCTATAATTCGTTTGAATTCCCATTAATTAGATTCTCTTTTTAAATTTTCTCATTTTCTTAATTGCTCTTCTCCCGGTTCTCTTTTCCCTTTTCTGGTATGCTTTGTTTTTTATTATATTTTTTTCTGGGAAAATAAGAAAAAAAAATTGAGGGAAAAATTGAGAATATTTTTTTTGGTTCGGTGCATTCCGACCATTTTCTCTCTCAAAATAGGACATCTTTGCGATAGTAAGAAATAGATCAATATAAAAAGTTTAAGAAAGTATATAAGTTAATTTTTAGTTATAAAAATTAATAAGTAATAATTTATTAAGTTATGGTTCATAATTAAATAAATTATAGATAAATTTATCAAGTTATAATTCATAATCAGATAAATTATGAATAAAAATTAAAAATAATTTATTAAATTATAATTTATAACCAGATAAATTATAAATAAAAATAATAATTTAATATATTTATTAACTTAAATAAACTATTAACTTATTAATGGCTTCAGGCGTAAGACGGTTGAACTGGAAGCCCATTTAGTTAGTATTCTGGGCTGTCAAGTGTCAACTGTATTAGCTACTAGCGAAATTACACAAGTAACTGTTAGAATTATTAGAATTATGATTAAAATTATTTTTAATTTATGTATATTTTTTTAAAAAAATATATTATAATAAATTATAATTTACTGTTCTCGGGAATAAAATAGGTCCTGTTTATTTTGTTAATTTGAGTTTAAAATTTAAATTTTGTTACGGTAAAAGATTCTTATAAATAATTATATTTAATTTTTTTATTATAATAAAAAATTTTCATATAAAATTACATCTTAATTCAAATTAAAAATTTAAATCAACGAACTAAACAGGCGTGTAGTCCATTTTTCGTTGAGTGCGCCGGCGATTTGACCTCCACTTTTGCACTCTCTCTGTTCAGTTCTCAGTAAAGAAATTTCAAATTTCATCTCTCTCTCTTTCTCTCTCTCTCTCTCCCTCGGTGAGTTCCTGCGTCTCAGAGAGGAAGCTTTCTGGGCTTTTCTTTCATTGCAGACTTTTTCTAGTTGGTGCCGGTGAGTTCCTGCGTCTCAGAGAGGAAGCTTTCTGGGCTTTTCTTTCATTACAGACTTTTTCTAGTTGGTGCTTCCAAGGGGTAATTTGATCAAAATATATAAACAAAAAAAAAAGTTAGTGTTTTTTTTTAATCAAATGTCTGTCTTCATAACATAGTTTTTGTCGAAACAAAAAAAAAACCAGGGATTTGAAGCAGCTGAGAACAGCCGTTTCTGGATTTCAGTCGGTGGGGGACGTAATGGCTCGCAAGCGTAAAAGTTCTGGAAACAAGGACAATATGGTAACATTTTATTTTATATTTTTTTCCCCTACTTTTACAAGATTCCATGAACTCATTTTTTCCCTTTATATTACAACTATTTGTCATGTGTGTTTTTCGGGTTTTTTTGGCAGTGATGATAAATTTAGGTGTGTTTGGAACTTGTTATTAAAATGATTTTATTTTTTATATTAAAATAAAAATAAAAACGTTTTTAATTTTAGATATAAATTATTTTTAAAAATGCGTTCGGTAATTTTATAAATATTTTTAGTATAAAAAATCTGTTAATGTATCTCGAGAGGGAGAAAATAAAAATAAAAAATAAAAAATAATTTTTAGTCATTTTTTTATTTTTCTCTCATTTTTTTATTAACAAAAAAAATGTTTTTATTTCTGTTTTTTATCTTTAATTGTGCCAAATTTTATTTTGAAATCGTTTTCATTTTTTTTTTCCGAAAAATATGGAAAACAAAAACAAGAACAATTTCATGGCATTTGTTTGTGATTCTAAAAAAAAAAAAAATTGTTTACGTTACTTTGGCTGGTGGCCCGTGAGTTTCTCTGATTTTTATTTTTTATTTTTTAAAGTGGCGTTGACTGTTAAGGAGTATATGCCTAAAGTTTATTTATCTACCCAACTTTGGTACATCGTGTTCTGTTTATAAACGAAAGCATGCACTTCTTTTTACCAAACCAAGAAAATCTGTTTTTGCGGATCTTTCACTTGCTTTCTTAGTAGTATCTATTATCTAATGTTGTTACAAGTATGGAAAATGCATTTTGTAATAAACAATGTTGTTGTGTGTAAAGTCTGTTGCATCTACTATGTTGTTTCACTTCTAACAACCGTTACTTCACAATATTCAAATCATTCATGTTGTTATATCTGATTTGTGAATTGGTTTTTGTTACATATAATTGTGGTCGAACTGAATTTTAGAATTTTATCCAATACCGACATTTTTTTCCTTTACCTAATGAAAGCCCGAGGAGAAGGAAGTTGAGCCTAGAAGCTCACATTCTTCAGAACGAGTGGAAGAGCAATCTGATTGTGCGAATCCTTTGACGGAGAAGGTGGACGCTTTGGTGGAGAAAGTGAATTCGCAGCCTAGTAAGGAAGCAAACACTACAAAATCATATTCTCGGAAGAAAAAGATGAAGTACCAAGTTGCTATTGTAAGGCGATCTGGTCCCATTAACAACACTGTTGTGACTGCGCAAAATCAAGACATTGAGCTTGTTACTAAAGTCTGTTGCATCTACTATGTTGTTTCACTTCTAACAACCGTTACTTCACTTCTAACAACCGTTACTTCACAATATTCAAATCATTCATGTTGTTATATTGGATGGTGAATTGGTTTTTGTTACATATAATTGTGGTCGAACTGAATTTTAGAATTTTATCCAATACGGACATTTTTTTCCTTTCCCTAATGAAAAGCCTGAGGAGAAGGAAGCTGAGCCTAGAAACTCACATTCTTCAAAACGAGTGGAAGAGTATTAGGATCTGTTAACTTGAGAACTTGTTTGGTTAGTGGGCTGGTAGAGTTAGTAGGAATTAGTATAAATAAAGGGCTTAGTAGTTCATTAGAGGTGTGTTGTGATTTTGAGAGTTTTGGAAGACTGAGATTAGAGAGAGCGGTGGTCTCTCGAATACCACCAAATTAGAAGTCCTCGGAGTACTAGAATTCTCCGTTCTATCCTTTACTTTTCCGTTTAGTAGTGTTTGGTAGTGTAATTGGAGATTGGCTAGTGGTTTTCAATAAAAGAATTCCCTTATTTCTATCCAATTCCTTGCCAATTTCAGGTTTCATATGTGTATGTTTGGCTTTGGAACACCTAGGTACCTAACAATTGGTATCAGAGAATCGATCTTGGCCGTCATGCTACATCGACATTGCTGGTGGAGACCATATCTCATTTCGGATGGCGGGTGGGGCCTAACTCGGCGAATTGACTTGCCATTTTCTACGGTGATGACGCCGACGATTAGATTATTCGTGTGGAACGAAGCTTTTTAGAGTTTCGCATGACATATCGGGAGAAATTAGAGGCTGTGGTTGTCCACTTAGAGGCTGAAGCTTTGACTTGGTTTCAATCGGAAGATCGACGATGGCCATTTCGAAGTTGGTCGGAGTTCAAGACTCATTTGCTGCAGCGATTCCGTCCAGTACAGAAGATCTCCGTACTTGCGAAGACTGTCGTGGCAACTCATGGCAAGCATCGTTTGGATTAGTTGATGCACCGCCAGGAAGAGCTTGTGGAGGGCGAATGGACGATGGAGGCGCTGCGATCTAGTGGGATGAGTCGCGATCAGATCTGAGCACTGAACCTTGGGTTCTGCGATCTGATTTGAGAGTTGAAGCTAGGGCTTCGAACTGCAGACCCATATCGGAGGGGAAGAGCTCTAAGTGGCGACCAGATCTAGAAATTCCAAGACAGCGACCAACGCCGGCGAAAGTGCGACGAGATCTGGGATCGCGCGAGGCCGATGAAGACTTGAGCGGTTCGTCGCGATCTGGTGCCAGATCGGCCAGATCTGTGGCAAACGACAACGGATCAGGGATGAAATTTAAGAACATCGACACGATTGGCATTGAAATTCGAAGCTCTGGTAAGATGGGGCCTAGATCTGAGCCAGTTGGTGCAAATTCTGATGCATCTGAGGCTAGACTCGAAGAATTGTTCTCAAATTGTACTAGATCTTAACATTTGGTCGCGGTTGGGGCTGATCCCGGCCAGGTTTGGACCAAGCCTCGAGATTCCGGTGTTAAAGGTGCTGGTTACAGTGCTGCGGAGGCAGATTCTGACGGAATTGGAGTGGGGCCCATGAATTCTAACGCCCTTAAGGCTGGGTTCTATGATTTTAACGCCACTGGGGCTATCTCTGGCGAGATGATGGCCAGGACGTGGAATTCCGACGTGAAATCCGGCGATTTTGGGGCTGCATCCCGAAATTCTATTCAGATGTGGGCTGGGTCTAGTGTTTTTAGTATGGGCATAGTCAACTTTGAGGTTGGGCCTCGTAATTCAGGTGCAATGGAAGTCGGGCCTCAAAACTTTTACATGTTTGGGGCTGGGAATGGTGCAAATGCAGCTGGGTATGAAGAAATTGGTGAGAGTGAAGTTGAAAGGTTGATGTCTTGGTTGGCTGAGAAGGAGACTACCTTAGTGAGGATGGATTTGCCAATAGTTTTTGTGACCATTAATGAGCTTGCACAGAGGGGCTCAAATGAATTGATAGACTTTGTGGTTGCTTTCCAAAATACCAAGAAGACAGAGAAGAAAATAATTGATTGGCTCCAATTGGAAAATGTGATTTATAGGGACAGCAACAATTCGGACTCTCCAATCAAGGAATTGCAGTCTTTTGTTCTTGATCATTTAGATGTTATTTTTCAATTTTATTTTTTGGTTTTCACCTTGAGGACAAGGTGATTCTTTGGGGCGGGGGTCCGTTAACTTGATAACTTGTTTGGTTAGTGGGCTGGTAGAGTTAGTAGGAATTAGTATAAATAAAGGGCTTAGTAGCTCATTAGAGGTATGTTGTGATTTTGAGAGTTTTGGAAGACTGAGATTAGGGAGAGCGGTGGTCTCTCGAATACCACCAAATTAGGAGTCCCCGGAGTACTTGAATTCTCCGTTCTATCCTTTACTTTTCCGTTTAGTAGTGTTTGGTAGTGTAATTGGAGATTGGCTAGTGGTTTTCAATAAAAGAATTCCCTTATTTCTATCTAATTCCTTGCCAATTTCAGGATTAATATGTGTATGTTTGGCTGTGGAAAACCTAGGTACCTAACAAAGAGCATTCTGATTGTGCGAATCCTTTGACGGAGAAAGTGGACGCTTTGGTGGAGAAAGTGAATTCGCAGCCTATTAAGGAAGCAAACACTACAAAATCATATTCTCAGACGAAAAAGATGAAGTACCAAGTTGCTACTGTAAGGCGATCTGGTCGCATTAACAACACTGTTGTGACTGCGCAAAATCAAGACATTGAGCTTGTTACTGAAGAGGTAATCCTTGGAGAAAGCCAGAAGGAAGACGGACAAGTTAATGTGGAGAAACAACTTCCAAGGTTGACAACGGAAGAGAAAGGCATGGAAGAAAAAATTGACTATATTTCACGACTTTTGGAAGCACAAGGAAAGAATATGGAGGAAATGATATCCAAGGTATCCCTCCGTCCGTTACATTTCATTTATATGGCTATGTGTTTTGATATGATAAGTTCTTGGCACTTGTAATTTATGAAGTTTATGTGACTTCTATGCCTTGAATTTTTTTGTGGGCTGATGATAAATCAGGAGCCAAGAAGAGACTCTGGGAGTAACAGCCGTAATAAGGGATACAAAGGCTTGTACATAACCTCCCAAAATAAGGTAATAAAAAATGTATTATTATATAATAGGGATATTGTTTTATCATGTAAAGTTATGTTTGTTTTCAACTTTTTTACATGAAAAAAATTGATATCGCTCTTTCCTTTTGAACTATGTTTGGCACCTGCAGGTTGATGCTTTGACAAAGGAAAACCATCGGCTTTTACTGAAGCTAGAAAATGCGCTCGCAAAACTCGAAGGAGTATGTTCAAGTGATACTTTTTGCCTCATATGTGACTTTACCTTATTTAGCAACTTATTGCATAGTCCAATCTACTTGATAATATGTCAATGTGTAGCCTTTTGCCGTAGATTTACTTTATCGTCACATCAGACCAGAATTATACTTGTTGCACTTAGTAGGTTGTTAGAAGTATTATCGTTGGAACTATGTTATGCATCTTTCACTGCCTATACAAATAACCTGTCATGTCTGAGTTAATAGGTGAAAAAACATTTATTCAGGAACTAAAATTACACGGGCAATTTTGAAAAGAAAAAAAAAAAGAATTATATGGGCCAAAGAGTTATGGTTTTTTTATGCAGGCTTCAAACTTTTGCCATTTTATTGATCTTCTTCTCTTTTTGGTCATCTTTGTAGTATGAGAAAGGAACGCGAGTGGCAACCGAATGGATGCAGAGTTTGAGGGACATTACTTTGATTTCGAATGTGAGTGTGACGAGAAGAACTGAGAAAGCCATATGCAATGCACTCTCTTCCCAGGCCAGAGGAAGAAAGACTCGTGAAAAGAAGTGAAACAAATCCACATGCAATGCACTCTCCTCTCCTAACACGGAGTTCTTCTCTAATGTTATGTCCATGTTTTGTATTTAGCTAATTAACTGCAAAGACCAATTAACAGTGTTGGATGGGATTGTTTTCAACATTTGAGCTCGAGTATGTACTTATTTGTGTTTGGCAACTTACTCTTTTAACATTTTCCAGCATCATCGGCGGTATGCTAAGAAAAAATAGAAGCTTTTCTCCATTTAGTTGTTATCTTTTAATAGTCCCTCCATTTTATTCTTTGGATAACTGATGCTCCCTGAATTAGGATTATTTCCGGTTTATCTTACGAACTTTAAAAATTTTCACATTGTTTCATGAACTCTATATTGTTTTCAATTTATTTTTTTTGTTGTAATTTTTGTTAAAAACAGATGAAAAAAAGAAAAGAAAGTAATGCAATCACGTGATCTTTCTGTTTGAATTTTTGTTTAAAAAAATAAATAAAAATTATATGATTATACCTAATTCTCTATTTAGATTTAAATGGGACAAATTTAAAATTTAAAAGACAAAGTAAGAAGTTTTAAAGTTTAAAAGATAAAATATGAATGAAATAGGCCTATTGAGAGTCCTTATTCTTTCCTTTCATAGTTGATGGCTGAACTTAGTTTATTATTTGTTTTTCATTCGACGATTGGAACTTAAATGGTGAACCAGTCGCGGTTAAAAATTGATTTTACAAATGATTTGTGATTCTTTTTAGTTTACGGTAAAATAGATGAATAATGTCACACAGAAGACCTTATAATAGATTTTATAGATTTAGAGAATGATGGCACAAACTTGCCATTATCAATAGAAATAGAAATATATATATATATAATTACTTTATGTATTTGAATTTGAATATAATGCTTATTTAATATCTAGATATTAAGAATAAACTGAATCAAACAATTATAAGAACAACTTAAATTTATTTATCTATTATCCTTGTCACTTTTAATTGTTAATTTAGTAATCACAAACAGATTTATAGTAAGTGTAATATAATTTTATTTCCAAAAAAAAGTGTATTATAATTTTATCTATCAGTGATTATTTTTAAAAAATAATTATTTACCTTTTTATACCAAATGTCTTTTAGATTTATTTAGAAATTATACTTTCATTTTATATCAAAAGTATACCATTTCTTTTTATATTATATACTTTCATTTTACCCTTTTATACCATGACTTTTAACACTGACTTTAATCTTAAAATATCCAAAATGTCCTTAAAATAGAAAAAGATAAATTAATTGGAAAAAAAAAAAAAACCGAAGCAAAGATCCCTGGCAGCTCCCAAAAATTTCAGTATCCAACTCAACAAATCACTCTTCCAGACATACTTTGATCGCACAAGAGTAGAATCCTCTCCCAAAATTTCAGTTCCCAAATTTGGAGATTTTCTTCGGAGCCAGCCCTAACGCTGCCCCTCGCTCTTCACCCAGACCAGGTACCTTCTCAGCTTTGAATTTCCCATTTTACTTTGTTCAAGTTTTGTTTCTGTGCAGATTTCCTTTTTTTTCTTTTTTCTTTTTTCATGCCATAGCTTTGAAAGTTTGATTTTTTATTGAAACCTTCATTTTGCTCCTTGTATATATAACATATATATATATATATATAGATTCTATACCTACACTTGACCCACTCGAGAGGAAACACAAATCCAGCAGATATTTTTTTGTTTCCTTTGAACAAATTCATTCGTTCTGCAAACCAAAGAAAAAAAGAGCATTAGTTTGGTTTTTGGAGGCTAGTCTGATAGATTTGTGTCTGGAGAAAGGTGTGCATTCTATGTGTTAATTATTACATATTTTCTATTAATTATCGACAGCGGAACGATGAACACGAAGCTACAACTCTCGTTAAAGCTCACCGCCGGAAATGGCGTCGCTTCCAGCCTCAGCCGGCGTCTCTTGCACGACGGACCGGACACCGTGGAGGAGCTCCTGGACCGGCACCTAGTGAAGAAAGATAAATCCGTCGACGACGAAGAGGACGAACTGTCGGCGAGGCGGCGACTCACCAGCACTCGGCGGGAGGCGCTGAGTCTCTACCGAGACATCCTCCGAGCGACCCGCTTCTTCACGTGGCCCGACTCGCGGGGCGTGCTGTGGCGAGACGTCCTCAGAGAGAACGCCCGAAAGGAGTTTGAAGACGCCCGTTTCGAAACGGATCCTGAAATCGTGACTCGGTTGGTCATTGGTGGGCGTGACGCGGTCCAATCGGCTCTGGATAAGCTCATCGAGAAGCAAAGGCAGGAGATTGAACAGGAACGTAGCGGCGGGGATCGCCGGTGATTGCTTAGGTTTTTTTTATTTTTTTATTTCCCTTCTCTAATCTATTAATGATATTGTATAATGTTACTGGAATTGAATAACAAATTATACTAATTTGAATTTTGTTGATTTGTGTATTTTGGAATATACAAGATTGATTTTCAAAAGATTTCAGTTTGATGAATCTCACTTGTCGATATTGATTGCGAAAGTAACTAATGGTCGGAAATTTACGGGGAAATTTATTTCCGAAATGAAACAATTTGCAAAAGGAAAAAAAAAAATCAGGCAGAATTCGAATAACTCAAAATGTCAGCAGTTTCAGTGATCGTCACACTCATTTAGAGCGTCGGAGAAGCCAAAAAAGTTGCCGGCCGGTGTTTGAAAGCATTCGGCGGCAACTTCTCCTCCCTGATCTTCATCAGTTGCGTTCCCGTCACCTTCCGGTATTGACGGCGGCGGGGAGGAGAAGTCTAAGCACATTTCCTGAATGACTTGTTCATAGGAAGCGGCAGAGAAGTCTTCTTCTTGGGAGGTCAGCTGGTGGTACTCCACAAGTTGTTTTAAGCATTGGTTTTCCCTTATCAGATTTGCATTCTCGTTTGCCAATCTTGATTTCTCAGCCAACAGTGCCTCCAATTGAAGCCTCACCTGTCCGTCCCAAACCCACAATCACAAATTTGACAAAAACATCAATAAGTTTCAGGTCCTAATCCTGAATGTCATTAGATGTGGAAGAGAAAGAACACTTGTGATTTCTTACCAAATCATCTTCCTCGGGTCTTGTCCCTTTCGAGAATCCGTCTCTAAGCCCTCTGTTCTCCTCCTCCAGGACTGAGCACCGCTCTTGCATAAAGCGTAAATCCGACTTAATCGACTTCAGTTCCCTAGCAAGTGAAGCTGCTTTTGTTGCCAATGAAACCGCAAGCTATTGAAAAGAAGGAAAAAGAAACCATTTAGCTTTTTCATTCCAGGAATGACATTGAACAGAAGAGCCGCTAAAGGACCAACATTTTTGGCTTTCTTAAGCTTCCCATCTGTTGGATCCTGCTCTTTCTCATTCTTCGAGTCATCTCCTTGATCCTCTGAGCAATGGTCGCTGTACTTTCTCTTCAATCCTTTATTGGGCTGTTCTTGATTCTGTTGTCTTCCTGAATCCTCTTCTTTACTCTCTGACTCGGATTTCTTCAAGCTGCTGTGGAATATTTCTGTTAAGGTGGGCGGTTTAGCTAGATCATTAGCTCCCTATAGATAGAGGAAAGAAAGATCTTACAAGTTCAAATAACCCATCTGGTTTGACTTCCAAATGCTCAAAAACAAAAATGAGCGTCAATACGGAATAAATATGATTGACACTTAACTATGAATATCTATATGAAACTCCATTGATTATATGTACATGTCAAAAAACAAGAACTTCAAAATATTTTACCATTTAAAACAATTTTCACACAGGAAAGTTTTCTGAAATCTAGTTAATTTTCTTGGGGAAAAAAAAAAGACCTTAAAACTCTACCTGAAGAGCCGTATCCAAATTGTTTGAAAGCTGAGAGAGTGTGTGAGCAACTGAGTCAAACCCTCTTATCAAAAGCAACGCATCTTCCTTCAATCGTTTTGCACGTCCAGAATCTCCGACATTCTACACAGAAAAGAAGTAACCAAACTCAAAAATCTCATAACCCATCGGGTCATATTTCAGCACCAGAATTTAAGACCACAAGGTCAAAGCAACTAGAAAACGGTTAATAAGCGCAGAAGCTGAAATAGGTGACCAGCTCACCAAAAGAGTGCAATCAAGACTCGGGGAAAAATTCCCGGTTGGGATTTCGGAGTTTCGATCCTCGAGAAGCGCGTCGATGCGACTTCTGAGAGTGCTCCAGAAGCGTTTGTCCGAGGAGGGACTGAACAGAGGAGACCCCATAAAGAAGCTTGCCGATTCCTACATATCCAAGAAATTGACATGTATGAGAAACTAATTTCTCATAAAGTTGGATAAATTAGAAGAAGAGAAAGATAGAGTAAAAAGAAACCTTGTAGAGATGGGTAGGCGATGGTGCCTCCGGAGAAGCTCCCATTAGAGGATGAAAGAAAGAAAGAAAGGCGTGTAACGGCTAGTTTTAAAAGAAGCTTGTGATGATTGGAGAGTTAAATAGATCCAAACTATGTAACGTTCGAAAATCTAATCTGAAAGCAGCGAATCTGGTCCACTCATTTCAAGAGCCAGATTATTAGATTACAAAAGTGACTTGATTTTTCCACGTTGAGGGACCCACTTAACCACTTATTACTTATTAGATTACTGGAGGATGTCCAACGCTGTAGTGATTAGGAATAAACCCACGAATTATTTGGGAGAGTTAGCCCTTCTCATTTCGTCAATTTTAATTTAGAATTTAAATTTTATTACAGTAAAAAAATTTAAAAAATAATCACATTTAATTTTTTTATTACAGTAAAAAATTCACATAACGTCACATTTTAACTCGAATTAACGAATTAAACGGGTCCGAATCCAAGCGTTTTAATGCAACACCCGATTGGGTAACAAATACGTGGGACTAGTTATAATATTACCCGCTTTTTTTCTTTCTTGAAAGATTGCTATTATTACTTTTTGTTTCTATTTTCAGACAACAGCCGCAGTTTCTTCAATAATACTAATAAGACCTTTTTTCTGGTAACAATCGATCAATAAATAAGTGAATAAGTAAAATTCATTACAAATATTGGCAATTGAAGAAAGTTTTAAGAGTTGTTCATAATAAGTTTGCATTTGTACTTTTGAGTTACATATATAATTTATGATCTAAAAGTGAAAAAAAATTATTATATAGAAGTGGGAAAAAAAAATGATGTGGACAATTCAGTATGTGATGTGTGTTGTGTAACCACTACTAGGCCAACGAATTTAAGAAATGACGACTGACCACTAGTTTTTATGGGTAGAATTTTATCTCCTTCTCATGGGAATACAGAGACAGAAGCTTTTCCATCATGTCTTTCTTCTCTTTTAACTTGAGCCAGAAACTGCCGGTTCTCATGCAATCAGGCACAAAAATTTGAGCAACATTAGTCAATATGGCCACTCTAGCTTCCTCATCTTCTGTGCTCTTCTCCTCTCCATCAAACACAAATTACCTTGTTCCATCCAATTCCCAGCTCTCTCCTTCTCAACGCCTCTCTCTCTCCTCGTCCTCTCATCTCTCATCTTCTCTCTCCATTTGTCCGTCTCTCTCTTTTGTCACCCTCCCCACAAGATGTTCCAGGCGGTTCGTCAACCCTGCGTGTTCCTTCAGCGTTAGGGCGAGCGCCGCAGACAAGAAACGAGTCCTCATAGTGAACACCAACAGTGGTGGCCACGCCGTGATTGGATTCTACTTCGCAAAAGAGCTACTTGGTTCTGGCCATGACGTCACCATCCTCACCGTTGGCGATGAAGGCTCGGACAAAATGAAGAAGCCGCCATTTAACAGATTCTCAGTTAATATCATATGAATCTAGGAGGCATGAAGTTTTGTGCCTTGTTTTGTGTTGATGAATTGAGCTATTTATGATGGTGAGTTTTATGTGTTTTTCTTTTAGGAAATTGTGAGTGCCGGAGGGAAGACTGTGTGGGGCGACCCAGCGGAAGTTGGGAAAGTTGTGGGAGGAGCTGAATTTGATGTGGTGTTGGATAACAATGGCAAGGATTTGGACACTGTAAGGTCTGTTTGCTTAACCAATTCTTCTGTGATGACAGACCTGCACAACCAAGAACATAATCAGTACACTTTAGAGTTGAAAAAAGCACTTCATAACTACAAATGTTGTATAGCAATGTATGTTATAGGGGAATGTATGTCACCATTCTAATATCAATATCTCCGTATTTAGGCCAGTGGTAGATTGGGCCAAGAGCTCTGGGGTAAAACACTTCTTCTTCATTAGCAGCGCCGGAATCTATAAGCCAACGGATGAGCCACCTCATGTTGAAGGGGTACTTTCTGGCCTTTTTGTGTTTTCATTGCCGTGTACAAATTAAAGGATACATTCCTCTGTTGAACTAAGAATATTGGGTTTCACAGGATGTTGTTAAAGCTGATGCTGGTCATGTTGGAGTGGAGAAGTACATCGCAGAGGTGTTCAGTTCTTGGGCAGCATTTCGTCCCCAATACATGATTGGTTCCGGAAACAACAAAGACTGCGAAGAGTGGTTCTTCGATCGTAAGTAAATTATCAATACTAGAAAAATCTGTTGAAACACAACAAGATTGCTTCAAGCCAATTATCCAAGTGCTCAAACATTATTGCACGAATTAATGTGTACCGGTATATGAACAGGAATTGTTAGGGACAGACCAGTTCCGATTCCAGGTTCCGGGTTACAACTGACCAACATATCCCATGTCAAGGACTTGTCATCTATGCTTTCTCTAGCCGTAGAGAAGCCAGAGGCCGCAAATGGCAACATTTTCAATTGTGTAAGCGACCGCACTGTGACTTTGGATGGAATTGCCAAGCTCTGTGCCCAAGCAGCTGGTCGTCCGGTCAACGTTGTCCATTATGATCCCAAAGCTGTAGGAATTGATGCAAAGAAAGCTTTTCCTTTCCGTAACATGGTAACGAAATTTCTCTGAGAGTTCTGTACTACCTCTTATAAACACCTTTTGATACTGTTGCCATAGTATAATTGTCTATTTGCTTTGCAGCATTTCTATGCAGAACCAAGAGCTGCCAAGGACATTTTGGGCTGGCAAGGTACAACAAATTTGCCAGAAGACTTGAAGGAGCGATTTGAGGAGTACGTAAAGATTGGCAGAGACAAGAAAGACATTAAATTCGAGTTAGATGACAAGATACTAGACGCGCTTAAAGTTCCGGTGGCTGCATGATTGATCAACAGAAATTATTTATTCTCTCTTGTTAGCTTCCTTGTAATAAAGAGTTCAATGCATCAAGAAAATAAAAACATTTTTGCTCCTTTTTTAGTTTCGCAAAAGAGAGATGTTTATTATTAGATCTAAAATTGAATAGTTTTGCACACAAGAATAAATCTGCACTTTTTTTCTGTAACGAAGTCGAATTCCTTATTAACTGTACCACAACTTTAGTTTAAAAAATAAAGGGAGTTTGTAGGAAAACGTATTTTATACTTTCTGCATAATGTCTGCAAAACAAACACCATTTTCCTTTGCAAGGATTTGAAGCTCATAATTTCCTAGTAACACTGGCACATCTGGGATAGGTAGCCTAAAAAATCTACTTTAGTGAACTGAACATAAGTCACTTTCTGAGTTTGGGAACATGGCTGTCAACAATTACAACTTAAAAGTCTTATTTTACAGCCAATGACGAGCATACATTAGCTGAAAACAAGATAGCTAAAACCAGCAACCAAAGATAAAAAGTACATTAGAGCCTACAACAGGACTCTGCTAAACATAAATGTTCTCGTACAAACCTTAATCTAAAATAGAATGGTTGATTACACTACTCGTCTTGCTTGATCTCTAGGCCCTTAAGTCTTGATTCCAATTCATCCTCGTTATCAGCATCCTCCTCTTCATCGTCCTCCTCTCCTTCTGGGTCATTCTCATCCAATGGCCCAAGAACATTAGGCGAATTCTTAAAGAAATCCTTTACCTCGTCGATCCCTTCATCGGATATGTAGTTACCGTTAATATTTAGCAGCTTAAACCCAGGTTTACGGGCAACAATTTGAGCCAAAAGCCTTGCTCCAGCTCTTCTAATCATATTAGTGCTCATATCAACCTCATTCAACTTGCCATGACCGTCTTCTAATGCTTTCCCAATTAAAATAGCACCTTCGTCTTTAAGCTCGTTCTCAGCCAAGTTTAACTTGGTAAGGAATTGTTTTGCAGCTATACATGTTGCCAAAGCAGAAGCTGATTTCTTTGTAATGTCATTTCCAGCTATTTCCAAAACTCCAAGTGAAGGCGCAGAATCCTTGAGAGCAATGGCAAGGGCTTCTGCACCCTCATCCTCTAAGTTGAGATAACTTAGGTAAATCTCCGTAAGATCTGAAAAGGCAAGTATAGCTTTACTTAATGCTAATCCAGCTTCTACACCAAACATATTGTCGCGTAGATCAATCTTCTTCAAATTGGTACAGTTCCCAAGTGCTTCAGCTAGGGCCACACCCCCTTCAGAGGCCACTCTTGTAGACGAGCATCGGAAATCCTCCAAAACAGGTGAACGTTTCAGCATCTCAGCAATCGCAATTGCCCCTTCATCTCCTGTCATATTATTGTGAAAATGAAGAACCCTAAGCTTCTCTGTCGATGGGACTAATTCAGAAACTGCTCTCGCAGCTTCTTCTGAGATACCATCATTCATCAAATAAAGCTCCTCCAAATTATTCTGTGATCTCAAAAGTGAACCAAATGCCCTAACACCCTTCTCACCCAAAGCATTGTTTGAAAGATTCAAATGCCTCAAAACACATCCTTCCAGGGCTGCAGAAAATATATTCATGACTTCAAGAGCTTCTGCCTCTGGCCTTCCAGCAATAAAATCTGACAGGTCCAGTTCTTTCAAATGATCTTTAATGGATAACAAGATAGGCTTGGCAACACGGGCTGCTTCTAAACCGAAGCTTCTATTGCTGAAGCATACCTTGGTATATGCACTTCCACGTTCTCTTAGTTGTTTCAAAAGCTCCTCGGCCTCCTCTTCATCAATGAAGGCTCGGCGACCACCAGATATGTCAAAGACAGCCTCTCGGGTAGCATTGACTTTTTCAGATGCTATCGTCTCTCCATCCTTCATTCTGGGGCCTCTTTTTAAAACTTCCAGCATAAGCCTACTGGATTCTTTGGCATATATTTGCACTGCTGAACCTCCATCACTGTCTGATTCCTTCTCAAAATGCTGGTTTGCAGTTGCAAAAGCAATATCCTCTATTTGCTTGGCATCCTCCTCGGCCTCTTCTTTACTGACCAGGCCATACTTTCTAGAGAAAATGGATGGAGTAATAAGATTCTTGGTCATTCTTTCTACAAGCAGTAGCCTGGTACTCTTGCTTGGAGGCCACAATTTGATTGATGTCAACCGCTGGTTGATAGTTTGTGTTGTAGAATCCATGTCAAATGAGCTGAAGAACAAAAATATACTCTTAGAAAACAGAACCATATTCCAAACAAGAGTTACGGGAGGGAAGGATGCTTGTGACCCCGGGTGCTAAAAGTCCAAGCAAGTTGTTAATAAACTTTTTTCACTATTGAGATGCACATTTCAAAAACTACAAATAAAATCAACTTGGCTCCAAACTCCAGAGCCATGGAGATTAGCATATATTTCCATATAATCAATTGGAAAACAGTATCCAGCATTATAACAGGTTGCACTAGTGAAAACAATGCAAACGACAGAATTATTACTGCATTCAATCTGCCATTAAATAAATAAATACATAAAAAAAAACACCAACCATCCAGTGTAATAACAGATTGCAGGAGCATATACAAATGCAAACAACAGAACAACCGGAGGTTATTACCACATTCAATCTGCATGTTTACTGAGATCAAATTACTTAAATTGATTATTTTTCTAAATATTTTCCAAGGCTGGATTAACATCAATCTTAAAGAGATTAATCTAATCCCAGGTTTCATCGTAGAAAAGGGTAAGAAAGAAGTCTCTAAAGATAGCAAACAATGAAACCAGTCAGAATTTGCACGGAAAATTCTGGAACCTTCCAAACAGCACGGATGGTGAGTAAGGATATAAAAGTACAAGGATTAACAGATCCGACGTTCATAGGATAGGGGAGATAACCAATTTCTTGTCGTAATAATATTTACAGCTTTCAACTTTCAATTTCATAAATTTGTAAAATCAATTAACAGATCCACATTTATAGCACCGAGAACACAACTTAAACCAAATCAAAATCACATAGATCAAGAAAAAAAAATTCCGCTATAAGTTACCATAGAACCAACTAATAATACCATAGCATATAAAAATTTCTCCTGAAATTCCCTAAACCGACATAAATGATAATTTCGAAATCCCATAAGAACCGATTCAGTGATTCTCCTATTCTAAAAAAAAAGGAATAAAATCAGTTATTTTCCTACATTTAACGGAAACCGTTGGGTGGATTATTTTCTGAAAAGGAAGGAAAAAAAATTATAAAAATATATTTATTTATTTAGTACCTGAAGTGAAACGAGAGATCTGATACGTACTGAAACCCTAGAGTTTCGCCGGAAATCCCTGAAAATCGAAGAGTGGGGAATCTGATTAGAGAGGGGAAAGAAACTTCAGTCTCAAATTTTCCCGGAAAACAAAATAATTTTCTAGGAATTTGAAGGGTGCTTTATTGTGTGCGGCGCGGAGCAATCATGAGAATGGTGATAACAAAAATCAAAATGAAAGCTTTTAGTTAGGCAGTGCGTGCGGGTATTGGAGGGAAATTATTGAACTTTTCATAAAAATCAAAAAATTGGGAGCCAAGCGTGGATATTACGTTTGCCCCTTTTCTCGAAATGACTAGAATGCCCCTGCCCTTTTCGACTCTCGGCTCTGTACATATGTTGGCCCATGAGCCCAATCATTGGGCTTCAGTAACACCTTGTTTGGACTCCACTTCTTTTTTCGAAACAAGAGTTAATTATTATGTAAGAGTTGAAAAAATGAATATTTACGAGTTGTGATATTTGCATACAAATCTATAAAATAACCCCTATAATAACATTTCTATCTTTTGCTAACTACCCATATAAAAAGAGTATATTTGAAATAATATTATCTCAATAAATATAAAATAGACAAATTAACAATATTGTTAAATAAAATTATAACCATGTAGTATAGAAGTGATCGTCTTCTATAAATACTTCTTCTAGGAATCCAAATTAGAGGATGTAATTGAAACAAAAAAATAATATAAAATCGAGTAAATAACTGTGAAGAAAAATGTTAGTTAATAGAAGGTGTGTCCTAGAGTCTGGGTCTCACATTTTATTAGTGATGGACATAACACTGATAGTGCCCTTGATATTTTTTTAAAAAATATTAGAGCTTTTTCTAATATTCTACAGTAATTCCCTAATATCGTGTCTTTTTTAGCGTTTCAACTCATCAATATATGAAAAATTATTACATTATTTATTAATTTATATGGACAAATTATCTTAATTATATTAACTATTTATTAGATGTGGTGGCTTTACTTTAAGATCTTCTACATTTACCAAAAAAAAAAAAAAAAAAAAAAGGAAATATCCCTTATCATAAAAAAGGTAATACAACTCTTAACCTTTTTGAGTTAATTGGGAGGGAAAGAAATCCTTTGCATAAATTGATAATTTAACAACATATTGGGACAACATGATGTTAATTTTGACACTCTTCTTGGGTGGGTGGTGGTTTTCTTTTTTTCTTTTTGTTTTTATTTATTTTGACAAGGAATTTCACACGGCCGATTCGTTTGGTGTTGATTGCTTTTGGTTACTCTAACCAGTTATCAACGCAAAGTTTCAAACCTATATTGATGTTATATATGAAGAGGAAATATAAATTTTGCATGTTTTAATTTCCTTTTCTTGGCGCTTCGAATATGATTCTCCTTCTTATTTCATGCTAAATGTATATATATACATCTATATGATATCTGCCTCTGTATATATATAATTTTAAAAGCACCTATGTCTACAGAAGGAATTTTGTGTGTTTTAGTGTTAAGAACTGATTAAATATAATCCTCTGTAACACAAAACAAGCTCCTTCCTGGCTCCTGCAGTTGGGTTCTTGCTTGAACCGACACTTTGTCCAGCTGTCATCTTATATGTATGGTATGGTTACTCTGTTCTGTGTTATTATATTATACATATATAAGCAAGCAATAATATGGACAGGAAAGCAATTGTATTCTAAAACATATTCAGGCTCAGTTGTCTCCTTCTAAACCAAACTAATTAATTTAATAGTCATCAGCCAGCTACTCATGTAATTTTTAATTTTTTTGTTAATTATTCGTTGGATTTGGCCACATTAGCAGGCTTAATTTATAGCTTTATCAGTACTCTCTTAATTTCTTGCATGCAGCCACGACTTGAAGACAAGACGACTCTGATCGATTAGATCGCAAGCCATTGGGGAAAAAAAAAATCATGAAGTATTGAGACAATTAGACTATATAGAACTTTATATGGTACAAATTACAATATTTTTATTAATTAAGTTGTTTAATAGGGATGTATACCAAAGAGTATTGATGAAGCAATGGAAACTTCCTGTTTAAAAAAAAAAATAGAAGTCCAGGATAGGATATGAAAAAATACACCATCGAATAAGTTGAATTGTGTTTTTTTTTTTTTTATATAATTAAAAAAGGAGATCATGTGGTGCATTTCACACCCCATCGCCTTTGACTTTAGGCAATTTTAGAGACCACTAAAGAGTTGTAAGGGTCTGAATTAGACTCTTTTTGTCCATCACACCAGTGTTTTTTTTGTGTCACGAGACCCACTTAATTTCTTAAAGATTTCCTAAAGAGTCGAGTATTTCTTGCGGCTGTAAAGAGGAGTCTTAACAAAAATTTTCTTCCCAGTGCACCACAACAATCGGTGGTAAGTTGAATTGTGATTTAAACCTAAAAAAACGAACCGAGGGAGAATATGAAAACTTGGAAAGAGCATGCACATCATGCGTGACATGGTTCCCTAAGCGGAGGGCACGGTGTAAAGGGAAAGCAGGATGTGTATATATACTTTGCCTTGGGTTGCTCTCCCGTGAAGCGTGCTGCTGCCATCTGAGTCACTTGCAACTACATTTCCTTTTATACAAGGACCTGTTTAGCAGCACAAATTTCGACCATTATTATTGGCTTGCTTGGAGGGACAAAGCAGTGGAGCTTTGTTTGACCTGACACCATAAAAGTCGGCATCATTTCGGTTGGATAACGTTGACAATTGGTCTCAACTGCTGTGCATAAAATTAGAATCAACCCAAGGGACCATGATTTGAAAGACCTTTTTCACTCATGAGTCATATGGTTTAATTTTATAACCATCATTTGGTGAAATAGATCATTGAAGTTGTTGACCCCAAACCCTCCACTAACTGCTTAGATAAGATGACACAATATATATATATATATATATATACATATATATAAAGCTCATACTGTCTGTGAGATCAGGATACATAATAGAAGTATCTATTGAGTTCTCTTTTAGATTTTTAGAATAGGGATTTACAATTTTTGTTCTTTTATATGCAGAAGCAGAACATATATTATTATATTTACAGTTATTTAGACCTCGTTCGTTTCACCGATTTGAATTTAGAATTCGAGTTTTACTACAGTAAAAAACTCTCAGAAATAATCACATTTAATTTTTTTATTACAGTAAAAAATTTTCACATAAAATCACATTTCAACTCAAATCAGCGAACTAAATGGACCCTTAAATAATGATGATGTTATTTTCTGGAGGTTTTTAAGACCGTATGTGCTGTGTTAAGTCGATTACGTTGAAACCTAACATATTGTAATTTTATAGAAGTAAAATAATAGATAGAAAAAGCAGAGAACATGTGAAAAAAGGAAGTTGGTGTGGTCCAATCAGCTGTAGGTTAGAAAGCAAACTAGTCACCAGTCACTAAAAAAACTAGAAAATATGCAATCACAAGGCATTTGGACTTAGATTAACAAATATATGAACAATTAAGTCCACATCTTCACGTCTTTTCCTTTATCAAATTATGCTTCTCAATCATTGTTTTTACTCGTGTGAACTGTGACTCAATAACTCTTAACTTATCTTTCGGCCTAATTTGGACCTTCTTCAAATCAAAATTTAAGTTTTTTTTACTATAGTGCTCTCTCTCTTAAAAATTGATCAAAGAGAAAATTATAAAATTTATCTTAAAAATGTATAAGTCTAATTTTTATCTTTTATTTTTAATTAAAATTCTTTTATCAGTATAATTATTTGATTAAAAATATTATTATTCAACACTATGAAGTAAAAATTTTAATTCATGCACTTTCAAAATGTATTTATTTCCTTTTCTCAATCAAATTTAATTTTTTTTAACTATAATATCCTTTCACATAAAAATTTGCTTTACTATAATATTCTTTCGCATAAAAAAATTTGACTTGTGAGTTGATGTTTTACTACATAAACTATGACAATATATCTAATCGGAAATTTTACGAGAGTTATTGATAGTCGTAGGAAAAAAAAAACAACTAAAATTAAAGTTCAGAAATATTTTGTAATAAGGCCTAATTTTAGGTGACTAACTTGTCCTATGACAAATATGTAGTAAAACATATAAATGGAATTAAAATATGTAAAATTATAATCACATAGCAGTGATGTGGCCACCACATGTGCGTAATATATGTCCACTCACCAGGTCTATTTATTATGGTGTTAGGTACTTATGGCGTGTTTGGCTGGGCGGAAAATAATGGAATAAAATAAAATGAAATTCTACTTTGATGTTTTGTTAGATTTATAATAAATGAATAATGATTCAAAAAGAATGGACACTCATCTATTTTGGGTGAATCATCATTCTTTACTCATATAAAAGGAAAGGTCATTCTAAATTCTTTTTTTTATTTTTTTTCATAATTACCCTTCAATATTATAATATAATTAAAATATATTATATAGTAGTTATATCTTATAATATAATATAATATATAATTATGATATATAATATAACAATATTATTAAAATTGTTAATATAATTATAATATTATAATTATATTAACAATTTTAATAATATTGTTATATTATATATCATAATTATATAATAATAATTTTATTATATTATATGACATTTTATATATTATAATATTATAATTATATTAACAATTTTAATAATATTGTTATATTATATATCATAATTATATAATAATAATTTTATTATATTATATGACATTTTATATATTATAATATTATAATTATATTAACAATTTTAATAATATTGTTATATTATATATCATAATTATATAATAATAATTTTATTATATTATATGACATTTTATATATTATAATATTATAATTATATTAACAATTTTAATAATATTGTTATATTATATATCATAATTATATAATAATAATTTTATTATATTATATGACATTTTATATATTATAATATTATAATTATATTAACAATTTTAATAATATTGTTATATTATATATCATAATTATATAATAATAATTTTATTATATTATATGACATTTTATATATTATATTGATAGATAAAATATTAGTGTTATATATAGCATAAGGGTAAGTTTGTCAACATGAAAATATTCATGTTTCATTTTAGAGAATTCTTAAAATTACAACCAAATAAATGAATCAACTTTCTTTTCTATTCAATTCCCATTACCATTCTCATTTCCATTCTCATTACCATTCCCCGGTTATAACCAAACGCACCCTTAATGTAATGTGTAGAAGAAAAAAAAAGAGTTAAAACTTTTTCCCAAAATCAGAAAATAAGATTTGCACAAGATGAACAGTTCATTTATAATGGAATAAAAAAATATGTAAAATTAAAGACTTTCTCTACGGTCTCTTATTGTTTAAACGTTAGATTTATATCAAAATTTATTTATACCATATATTTGTTTAATTTAATATAATTTTAATAAGATTTAACCGTTCATTTCACCGATTCGAGTTTTGTTACAGTAAAAAATTATCAGAAACAGTCACATCTAACTTTTTGCTACAGTAAAAATTTTTCACATAAAATCACATCTCAATTCAAATTAAAAATTTGAATCAACAAACTAAACGAACACATACCATCGATAAAGCACACTGTCAGAAAAACTACCGTAAAATTATAATTTCAGAAAGTGAACTATCCCTGACTTCACGGTAGTGAAATGGTATCCAATATCCATGACACCCAATTCTTAAAGTGTATTATGCAAATAAGATTTAGAATTCTTTTTTGAGAAAGATAATTTAGAAATATCAGTAGAATACTATTTGAGTGGGGAAAAAAGAGAGAGAGAGAAATATAGTAGAATAAGATCCCAACCACATATAAAATAATGGGCGCAATCCACTACCGACACTATCTTTTATATGACGTTTTTTTAGACAGAGGCCGAGAGAGACGGTGTATCTGTGAGCGTCAATGTGAACCAGAAGAGAGAGAGAGAGAGAATTTAATAAATGAACTCTCTTTCTGTGGCAAAAGTATTTTCAGAGACAAAGAAACAAAAATGCCCCAAGTCCCTTGGATAAGGATTAGAAGGTGATAAATATATATGTGTTCAGTGATTCTTCTTCGCGCCTTACGCTTATTGTTGTGCTGAAGAAACTTCCAAGTGCAGGGAAATAGAGAGATTTCGTAAAAGAATCTCTGTAAGTTCTACATTTCTCTTTAGAGCCTTCTTGTTGGGTCTTATGCTTTGTCATTTGGAGTTGAACTCAGATCTTGTGTTATGTACTTGTAATTGAATGAAAAAATGTGTCTTTTCCATTTTGTTGGTGGGATTAGATATGGGTTCTGTTTATTTTTGTTGTATTTCTTGGTTTACTCTTCTGGGCTTGTCTTAAAGTTACGATTTAGTACCCAAATCGGATGTAATTCGTTGGCAGGACTTTGATCTGAGAGCATTTTCTGGAAACTTTGGGTGGGCTTTGCTCATTTGGCACATTAGTAATTAACAGTGTCAATTTCATCTAGTTGGACAGCTTAATTGGCCACATATTTATCAGCAAATTTACTATTTATTTCCATATTTAGGGGGAAAAAATTAGTAGGTTCACAGGAGAGTAAAATGAGAAGTCAGAACTCCAGTAGTAGAAAGAGAGAAGGCTGGATCTAGAACCAAGCATAATAGTAAAGCAGGGTGTCATTTGCAATTTTGGGTCAACAATTTGTTGATCTTCTTGAGAAGCTTCCTTTCTGCAAATTTGGTTGATATAAAATGAGTTGAAAATTAGTTTCTAAATGTTGGTCCGTTTTGTTAGTATCCCTGCTTGAGAAGAGTGGAGTACTTGTACTTTTTTGGTCATTCTAATTTCCCAACCTTGGAAATCAATTTGATAAGGCTGGAATTTGTTCAGGAATTAAGCTTCAGGAATGGGATTTAATTAACAAAATAATATATTTTTGACGAAAATTGTATATGATGATGTTTATTTCTTTGTGGGGAAATGTAGTTTTCTTCTACCGCATACCACTCCAAGTTGGTGAGCACTTCAAGTCTTTATATAAGATGCTGTGATATGTAGTCTTTGACAACGTATATTATGTATCTAACGTCAATGCTTGAATTTGCAGATTCAATATGGGAAGTTTGGCAGTTGAAACCGATAATATTGTCTGCTCAGATGTTTACCTTTCTTTGGGGCTTAAAGAATTAGGGAAAGGAGTTATGAAAATTCCCCGGGTTCTGTCACTTCTCTCTTCACTTCTTGAGAAATCCGTTCAAAGGAATGAGATGCAATTGGAGGCAACACAGGTCAAAGATGTCCTCACCATTTTTCATGGTTTAAGAGCACCAAGTTTGAGCATTAGGCAATACGTCGATCGCATATTCAAGTACTCGGGCTGCAGCCCGTCCTGCTTTGTTGTTGCAAACATCTACGTTGACAGATTTCTCCAGAGCACAGACATTCAGCTAACTTCACTTAACGTTCACCGGCTTCTTATAACGAGTGTCATGCTAGCAGTGAAATTTATGGACGATGCGTAAGTAATAAAACTCCAAAGACAAGAGAGACAGCTCGTAATTTCATGGCGTTGTGTGCTTTTTGGCATCATACCTTATCTTTTCAGAGTTGATTTATGATGCCATTTTATAAATGGTTCTTGCAGATTCTTTAACAATGCTTACTATGCTAAAGTGGGAGGAGTTAGCACGGCAGAACTTAACAAGTTGGAGATGAAGTTTTTGTTCACGATTGATTTCAGGCTTCAAGTGAGTATAGACACATTTGGGAGGTACTGTTCGCACTTAGATAAAGAAGCTTCGGAAGGACTACAGATTGAAAGGCCAATCCAAGCTTGTGGAATTAAAGAGAATTGGTCAAACAAAGATGACTCAACTTGTGCTCCAACAATTGCAAGATAAAGAACATGCAATAACATTTCAATGTGCTGTTATCACGCCCATCTTAGATATGCAATTTGATTGTTTCGACTGTGTGCGGAGTTGGCACTTCAATGGAAAGTCATTGTAGGGGCAGCCTTCGGGTTTGCCATATTCATTCTGAGATTTTTTTTTTTCAAAAAAAAAAAAAAAAAAAAAGCATATTGTATTCCTGACGGAACAGTCGCAGTTGAAGCAACTTTGCCGCCGAAAATCTCCATTTCTGAGAGCTGAAGATCTCCAGCCGAGTTGATACAAGTATAATGTAGAATGAAAAACTAGCATATAAAAGGTGTTCCATTCCATTGTGATAATATGTCATTTCTCATGGCTCGGCGGTGGATAAGATAACCATGTTATTCTTAAGTTCTTTAAAATGTTTTAAAGTTTCACGATTCCTCTTCTTTTAACGTTATTATTATTATTATTATTTTCACGAGACACTTCCATTAAAAGCATTGTTTGCCGGAACACTTTAGACTAAACGACATCAAAATGACATGTTATTAACGACGACATCAAACCTTTGATGGAAAACGAGATGTCGTCTAAGTTCAGTTTATTGGCAAAAGCCAAAAGGCAAAACATTCTTAACCTCAAAAGGAGAAACCCATGCCTAGGGCCTTACCGACATGAAATGAAAGGTTCAAGGACCATTTTATTCCGAACGACCCAGATTCCAGATAGTAAAATATAAAAGAATTGCTTGGAAACTATAAAAGAATTGCTCATCAATTACACACTAGTGTACAAGTATATGTACATTTCGCCTTCTATACTAATAGTTAAGATCAAAACTCTAGCTAGTCATCTGTTCTTGGCACGGTTCGTGTTGGACAGGCTTTGTGAGTGCGTTAGTCAAGGATCTTCGTATCTCCGGTATGATGTGTTTAACCAAACGAACATACCTGTAAATTTTCATTAAAAACATTATACATTTTCAACCTTTGATTGACATTAATAGCCATAACAAGACACATCAAAAGTCAGATTCGAGTAATCAAATTGTGTCCCCTTTTAAGCTCCAATTCCAAAAACTCAAAAGTCAAAAAAGGAACGTTTAAAAGCATAGGTGTTATTATTTTAAAATAAATAAATAAAAAAGACATGTCATCTAGAAAATGAGGAAGCTAAAGCAAGCTGAAGATGCAATACGTACCATGGCCTGATGCAAAGCTTGTCAAATTGGTCCAATATGAACAGAATGCAAGCTTCTCTTAGCGACATAGCGTTGAAAGCCTCTGATAACTCGTACATGAGGGAAACATTTTCTACAGAAATATCCTTGAAGAAACAAAATTAGAAGTCATCAGTAACGACTAGTAAAATGGTTGACTAAGGTGGGTTGGGATCATGAGATGAATCAAATTAAGAAAGCCCACCTGAGCAATGGTATACTCGCAAATACGCTTAAGACCCTCCAAAAAATACTGATCTGCAGCTCGGAGTACATCTTGAGCACTATCTAAATCGACTCTTACGGATCCTGTGTATATGAATCTAGAGGCACAAACGAAAAGAAAGTACAACATTTAAACAAAATACAAACAGGAGTCCATTACTTAACATTAATCGGAAGGAAAATAAGCTCGTACCTCATCATCAATTCGAAAACATCCCATTTTATGTTTGGGATCTCTACGTCTTTAGCATTCCTTTCCTGCAAAACAGTTTCACCCACACGTGTGTGGAAGCGCATCAAACATCTATATAAGAACAAATCTTAGAACCCATGGGTCCCAAGCTAAGTAGTAGATAAAATAACAAAGCGTTGGGGATAAACTAGCGCTTACCCTATAACCACCATCAAACATTGCACGGAATGCATCAGAAGAAGCAAGCAGACAGATTCTGTGAGCGTAAAACCGTTTACCTAAGAAATGAAAGAAAATTATTTATGCACCGGGAGTACATTCAGCAAACTTTACAATATATTAGCTGCATCAAAATGCAAGAATATTATCATTGCTTCTTTCGTTTCTCAGAAAACCAAGGGCAAAATGCTAAGGCCATTACATCCTACCTTCAACTAAGAATGTGACGTCAGAAAGGGTGGGGTTGTTTACATATTGCTCACCCAAGTACACCTGAATAATGGGAACATGTCAGTGATGAGAATACATTTGAAATAAGAGAATCATTTTATTAACTAATTAGACATCTGAAAGAAAACCTGCGGAGTTGGTGAGGGTGGAGCTGCATTCACGAGGGTAAGAGAAGAAGCTTTTGTAGCCAACTCGTGCAAGGCCAAAGAACCATCTCGTTGTTGCTTCAGGTTCGTAGATTCTAGAAGCTGTAATAGCAGGTCTAAACCTGAAGAACAGAAGAAAAGAGTATTAAAAAAGGATGGGAAAAAGAAAGCTCTAAGAACTCGTACACCCTTTGTGGTGGAACGACAACACGATTTTGTTTCTTTTTTAAATATAGATAACTAGCTATGTGACTAAGCTAATTCAACCCGATATTTTCTGGATTTGCTTGGTTGAATGTTAAGACGGACTGTAGAACTACCCAAGATATTGCATAATTGAGTAAGACTTCCAAACTGGCAACAAGATTGCTTTCTCGATGTAGCTTAATTAACACAATTAAGAGACTGAATATGTGCTTACAAATTCAATTTGACTCAAAAACTAATTTATAAGTATCAAATCACCATGTCAACCATGACGCAAGAAAGAGGGTATCAAAACTGAAGTTTGGAATAATCTGAATTTCCTCTCATTAATTGAATGGACCGGAAGGGTATTTATACAAAGGCAAAAGATAAGATCTTATCCTAAGAGACCTCCTAGATATTAGGAACTACTTTACACATTTATAGGGATTAGCTTACAATAGATCCTTAGCTATTATCCCACGATTCTAGGAGCCTATCACTTATCTAATACTCGGCTAGTTTGAATTTCAACACTCCCCCTCAAACTAGGCGGTATATACTCATTAGACCTAGCTTAGAGCTCAGTTCCGTGAAGTTGGGCCTGAAGAGGGACTTTGTAAGAATGTCTGCAACTTGATGTTGTGATGGAACATGACTCAGTGATATGATATTGCCTTCTATTTTCTCACTGATGAAGTGTCTGTCAATCTCCACGTGTTTCATCCTGTCATGGTGGACGGGATTCTTGGCAATTGCTATGGCTGATTGGTTATCACACATCATCTGGATTGGTCCTGAGATGGCAATTTTGAGTTCATCCAGTAGTCGTTTTAGCCATATTCCCTCGCAAATGCCCTGGGCTAAAGCCCTAAACTCTGCCTCGGCACTGCTGCGGGCTACCACTGGCTGCTTCTTGCTGCGCCATGTGACCAAATTTCCCCAGACGTAGGAGCAATACCCTGAAGTGGACTTTCGGTCGCTTGGAGACCCTGCCCAATCTGCATCTGTGTAGATTTCTAAGAGCCGATTGGCTGTCTTCTGGAATAATAGTCCCTTCCCTGGATCCCTTTTAAGGAACCTGAGAATGCGAGTTACTGCCTCCATATGATCTTCGGATGGATTGTTTAGGAATTGACTAACACGGCTTACGGCAAAGCTTATGTCCGGGCGTGTGTGAGTGAGGTAGATTAGTCTTCCTACCAAGCGTTGATACTGCCCTGTATCCACTGATTTTTCTTCAGTCCGAGGTTTTAATTTCGTGTTGGGATCCATGGGGGTTTCAGCTGGTCGGCATCCACTCATGCCGGTTTCTTGTAGTAGATCTAGCACATACTTGCGTTGAGAGACTGAAATCCCTTTGCTTGATCTTGCTACCTCCATTCCCAGGAAATATCTTAGGAGTCCCAAGTCCTTGATTTCAAATTCTTTGGAAAGGAGGGCCTTGAGTCTCCGTATTTCTTCTTCATGATTCCCTGTGAGTACTATGTCATCGACATACACGATTAGGATTATTACCTTGTTGCCGGTATAGTGTTTGATGAACAATGTGTGGTCGGCCTGAGATTGAGTGTAGCCATCAAGTTTTAGTACTTTTGTGAATCTGTCGAACCATGCTCGGGGCGATTGTTTAAGCCCATACAGTGACTTTCTGAGCTTGCATACCTTTCCCTTTGTGTGATCATCCTCGAACCCGGGAGGGATATCCATATACACTTCTTCTACTAGATCTCCATTCAGGAATGCGTTTTTCACATCTAATTGGAGCAGTGGCCAATCTTGGTTTACGGCAATAGATAGTAGAACACGTACTGTATTGAATTTGGCTACAGGTGCAAATGTCTCCTGATAGTCAATTCCGTATGACTGTGTGAATCCTTTTGCCACTAATCGTGCCTTGAATCTGTCTATTCTTCCGTCTGCCTTTTGTTTGACTGAAAAAATCCATTTGCATCCAACCGTATGCTTTCCCGGCGGTAAAGGTGTTAGACTCCATGTTCCATTCTTTTCAAGTGCACTGTACTCTTCCAAGGTTGCCGCTCGCCATTCCGGGACTTGTAGGGCTTCTTGAACTGTTGTTGGGATCTGAATTTTGTCGAGAGCTGTCACAAATGCCCTGAACTTTTGGGACAGGTTTGCATAGGTCAGGTGATTACAGATGGGATGCTTAGTGCATGACCGGACTCCTTTTCTCTGAGCAATGGGCAGCTCTAAGTCTGAGTGTTGTTCCGCGGGCTTCTCTGTATATTCACCGTCAATTTGCATACTAAGATCCACTTTACCTTGTGTTGTCTCAGAATTTCTTGAACTCGGGATTGGGTCATGATGTTGCTGACCTTGTTCAGGCAAGTGCTTTCTTCGGATAAATACTTTTATGGCATCATTAGGAAGAGTGAGATGATTGGGATATGGAATTGAATTGGCTGAAGATGGACTTGGTGGAGGAGACATGTTTGGCCGAGGAGGAGGTGGACTTGGCCGAGAGCTTTCTGGACTTGATGAGGATATGTTCGGATCAGGTAGGCCAGAGAGAGTAGGAGAAAGTGAGCCATAGTCAATGAGGGAAGTCCAGTCCCAATTTTGTGGTTCATGTGTGCTAATCTCCCCCTGAAGCTCGAAATTGGAGAAGTAAGGTTTGTTTTCAAAGAAGGTGATGTCCATCGTATGATAGAATTTGTTTGTGGTAGGTGAAAAACATTTGTATCCCTTTTTGTTTGATGAATACCCCATGAAGATGCACTTGAGTGCTCTTTCATCAAGTTTACTACGATTATGAGAATGAATATGAATGAATGCAGTGCATCCGAAAATTTTGAGGGGAACTTGTGTGATCAAATGTGATTTTGGGTAGCACTTTAGGAGAGTTTCCAATGGGGTTTTGAATGTGAGTATACGTGAGGGCATCCTATTTATGAGATAGGTGGCAGTGAGGACTGCTTCACCCCAGAATTTTTTGGGAACATTGGATTGAAATAGTAGGGATCGGGCCACCTCTAGGATATGTCGATTTTTGCGTTCAGCCACCCCATTTTGTTGTGGGGTATCTACGCAGAAACTTTGATGAACAATGCCATAGGATGTGAGGTAGGGACCAAGGATGGAATTGAAGAAATCCCGGGCATTATCTGTTTTGAAGATTTGGATGTTTGTTTGAAATTGTGTTTGGATCATCTTATGGAAGTTTTTGAATATTTGGCTGGTTTCTGACTTGTCTTTCATGAGGAATGTCCAACTTATACGGGTATGATCATCTATTAATAGTAGAAACCATCTTGCTCCGGTGATATTTGGAATTTTGTTTGGCCCCCAAATATCACCGTGGATGAGGGAGAATGGATGAGTTGGTTTGTATGGACGGGGTGAGTAAGTGCTTCGGGTGTGTTTAGATAACTGGCAAATATCACATTGAAGAAACTTGGGATTTTTATTGATGAATAATGATGGAAACAAGTGTTTCAAGTACATGAAATTTGGATGACCTAACCTATAGTGCCACATTAAGATTGCACTATCTTTATTTGTGTGACTCATGGACTCTAGACTATTGGCAGACCAACATTGTGGGCTGACATCTGTTTTATTGGCCTGGGAGCAAACTGAGGTGGTGGCTGAGTTGAGAAGGTACAAGCCTGCACATAGGTCAGCACTGCCAATCATCTTCCCCGAACTCAAGTCCTGAAAAACACAAGATTTAGCAAAAAACTTAGTCTCGCAGTTGAGTTCATTAGTCAATTTGCTCACAGAGATTAGGTTACAGTCTAAGTCAGGAACAAACAAAACTGAGTTGATGGTAAGAGTCTTTGAAAGCTTTATGGTTCCTGTTCCAGCCACTTGTGAACGTGTACCATTGGCTATTCGGACTGTTTGATAGTCCTGACATGGAATATAACTTGTAAATAGCATTCTATCACCTGTCATGTGATCGGAGGCTCCTGAGTCGACTATCCACGGTGACGGTGACTTGGCTACATGGAGTGCGAGATTCCTTGTGCCCTGTGATGACCCTTCTGCCGAGATTTGTGCCTGGTTGATCAGCTGTTGCAGTGTTTCCAGTTGGTCTTTAGTGAAGGGAACCTGGCTTTGAGACCTTGCGGATTCTGCTGTGGCAATATTTCCACGGCTGTCACGATCTCCAGAGTTACGACTTGGCTTCCAATCGGAGGGTTTTCCGTGTAGCTTCCAACATGTTTCTTTCGTGTGGCCTGGCTTCTTGCAGTGGTCACACCAAGGGCGTCCTCGACGAGAGTTCTGTGGTATCCCGCGAATAGCAAGAGCGGCTGGCTCTAACGAAGACTGATTCTCTCGGGTTG